AGGGAAAGGAGGATTTCTTTTGCAGTCCTTGTAAGTAGGCAATTTGCTATCTTTGACCTAAAAAGCAGAAGGGGGAAGGATGGGGTTAATAAATCTTACAGAAGACTTTCAGATAGTGGTACACAACAAAATAGGGAAATAATCTCACAAAACAAAACAACAAAGAAAATTTACCACTTATGTGATGGATTTATCACTACTGCAACAGAATAAAAACCTATTCTCATTAATTCACTGCTCAATCTTTTAAAATGTTATGAAAATAAATGTGTGTCACTGTGGCTTGTTTCAACTGCCTTTAAACCACACAGCACTTAGCTGCATGGCACCGCGTTATATTATACAGAGTATTCACCTTTTACACAACCAAGACATGCTTTTGTATGCATGAAACAAAATAATTATGGTAACTAATTTTGCAAAGCTTTGTGCATGTGCTGCATTCAGTCCCTCTGGCTACCGCAGAGCTATTCGGTAACTGCAGAGTTAAACACCTAAAATTCTTCACCAGGAATCACTACCCATGTTTGTCACACAAGAGCCTTTAAGAAAGTTAATTTCCAAGAACTGTAGCGCCACAGAGAAATTACTTTACTGACCTCTCTGCATGTGGAAAGATTTAAAATCTAGCCCCTGAAACTCCAATCTCTGAAGAAAATTAGTAGCTAGAATTATCAGCAAAAAGCAGTTCATCTGGAATAGAGGATAGAAAGCTGGTATCTCTAAAGAAAAAAGGAGCTAAAAATTCTCAAGCGATGAAATTTTATTTAAAATTAAATTCTTCACTTCTATATTGTTACATATGATCTTCCTCCTGAGCTGCAATAATCCCTTTGAGCCACTATACTCAAATGGATTAAAAAAAAAAGTCCAAATATATTAGACAAAATTTTAATATACACAGAAGATAAGCTCTTCCTCTTATTTTTTTATGGACTTTTACAGAACAAGAAGCTTGTTCTTGGTTGGACAAAAACTTCACGTAGGACAACTGTGATTTATACTAGAAATTATATAAAATAATTTTATGCCCACTGACAATTGTTCTGACAGCACTATATTTACCAGATTCATATCTACTATTATGTGAGCCTTTCCCGAAGTCCATGAGGACTCCTTCAGATGAAGTGCTCAATAAATTTGACTGAAACTTCAGCTTCTAAAAAGCTGTTTTTTTGGTTGTTCCCCCCCCTTCTGCCTGAGAAAGTTCCAACAGTTTTCCAACTGCAGGCTTGATAAAAACACCAAAAGCTTTTGCTAAGAATTAATGGGGTGAAGGACTCAATATGCACTGGTTAGGATGGCTACTTTGCTTTTCAAGTAGATCATTCCTCTTCCACCAGATGCGAAGAGTGTTCTCTATTCACTTGTAAAGTGCCAGTAATAACTACTGAAGTACCCGTAGTCCCAGCAGACACCAATTTACATTACATATCTACATGGACTAAACTAGGCTGAGGTCCAAGTCCAAAGATCTTTGCCTCAACGGTTCCAGCAGCAGTAAGTTCAGAAGTAACACCGTCAGAGAGCTACAACAGTGCCACGTGAACTGCTGAGGCAGAGAAGTCATCCCTGCCTTTCAGTACGTTACTACTGTTTCTTGTATTATAGGAAAATGTATTAATAACTTCACTAGTTACTTATTATTTTCCCCTACCCCTTTCTCTTTTACTCCCTAATCCTATTACACATCATAAGCCTTTTTTTGTCAACAGCAAAAACTCCCATGGTCTCTAAAAAAGTTACAATAATATTAGGAAGATCAGAACACATAATTTTATTTCTGACAACTTATTCATTTCACATATAACTTATTAAAATGTTTTTCATGTCTACTTGTTATTTTTTAATTCTCATAATGAAATAATACGTGCTGTTACATACAGACTGTGCCATTACAGGCAGTTTTAGGCACCTGAAAAATGAAAGGTATTTAAATGTTTGGTTTCCTCTTCCCTTCCCGCCTTCTCTTTTCTTATAACAACTTCTTATCACAGGACTTAGGAGTACATCTACTTTAAACTAAAGGCAAAGCCAACAGTCTAATCTTAGTCCTGCATTAGTTTATCTAAATAAATAAAAGATTTCTGTTCAGCTTTAACATTGTATTTCACATATTACTGTCAAGTGGCATTTTGCAGATACTGCCTCTTGTGTGATAAGGAGAATTCTTGCCTCTTTCAACCTTCGTAGTTTCAACAAATTATTAGATATTGTTATTATTCCTATCAAAAGGAAGATCACAGTCTCATTTTACAGCTGAAAGTATCGATGAACAACTTAAAACCTGGTGCGATTTATGTATTCTCAAGAGAATTATGGAATTATTTCCTTTACGTTTATGAAGTGTGCAGCACACCAAAGCTTTCCTACATATATTACTTCAGGTTCCTGCACAATAATGTCACAATATTATAAAGGGGTTAAATGGTATGCAGCAACAGTTAGACTTGTCTGTATAAGAATGTACACAGACAAGAAGCACATGGGACCTAGCACAGCTCTTCCTGGTCTCCCAGTAACCTTCTGAGACTGTTCCTATTGAAGGAGTAAGTTTGAAAGCTCTTGTTAGTAAAATCCAGTTATTTGAGCTCTCACCCACAGGAGGAAACAGGCTGAGAGCCCAGCTGGTTATGACAATCCATGAAAACATTCACAGTATAACTCAATATAGCAATCACTTGGCTGGTACAACCTCTGTATTAATACTATTATATAGTATAGCACACTATGCTGCAGATAGGTGGTGAAGATACACTACAGTATATTCTCAGTGAAGTTTTTTATTAAGAAAAACACTAGAGAAAGCTGAAAGTGGAGCTAGTTTGGGTTTTGTCACTAAATCCTTAAAACACTCATAAAGGGTTTTGCAGACAGTTAATAAACTGCATGTAAGCAAGTGCCATATATTGCCAGCGTGTCAGATAGTATAAACAAAATCAGAAATCTATCACCACTTAATATGGTCTTAAATATTTATTATGGTCTTCATCAGGCATTAAAACTTGAAGCTTATGTCACAACTCGCATTTGTAGTTTAATGGTGCTTCAGGCTGTTAGCAACCACAGCAAAGACTGCAAATTGTTTGTCAAGAAGGGAAATGTGTTTAAATACAGAATGTTAGAAACAATCTCAGGTGTCATACATTACCTAGCTCAGTTTCTCTGCTATTTTTGAAGCTAGGCAGAAAACTGAATTCAAGAACTAGATCAATTCCTGACCAGCCTTATTTTGTCTTCAAGAAAAACCTTCCACACAACTCCATCATGGGGCCCAAGATACAGGACAAGGAACATGGAAGTGAAGGCATCACACTGCTCCTCCATGTCCTCAATTTGAGCACAGCACACCCAACTCAGGCACTGGCAGCTAGAAACACAGGCAGTAATATTGGCAAGTGTGATACAAAGTAGGAAGAAAACCACTACAGACTTCTCTAAAAAAAGAAAAAAGGCCTAAAAAGGCCAAGAAATTAGCAGTAAGGGAAGACTACTACATCTACATGACTCTTAAATACTTCCAGGGATGGTGACTCCACCACTGCCCTGGGCAGCCTGTTCCAATACCTGGTTACCTTTCAGTGAAGAAATTCTTCCTAACATCCAACCTAAAACTCCCCTGGTGCAACTTCATTGAACAGACTGATGCCCATCTCTTTACAACCTCCTTTAAGGTAGTTGTGGAGAGCACGTAGCCTTCTGCTTCTCTCTTAAGGGACAGAAGAGATAACTTTTTGGTAATATACTTGGGTGAGAAACCAAGAGCCAGAAGCTTCCTACTAGCTTTTTTTTTTTTTCCTAGAGAATCAACACCACATATTGTAACTATAGGCCTTGTGAGCTAAGAAGATACACCAAGAAAAAAAGGTATTACCTGAGGTAGGCTATCTTGATAGGCATAACACACTAATTTATGAGTGTTCACTCTGTGATGTCACTCTTGTAACAGAAAAATTCCATATACTCATATACTTTAGTATATTTGATATACTAAAGTTTTTAAAGTTGATTAGACCTTGTCACTGAGAAAGAAATCCACGCTGTTGTAAGCTTTTTTGAGTAGTCTTCCATTTGGCTAGAAACATTATTTGTGTCAGTTATTTACCTGTATGTTTCAGAGTGCAATATCAAATGAAAACTGCTTTCTAATTAAAACAGGAATCCATCAATCCTAGTATTCTGCACTTTTATTCTGCTGAAAATAAAACCTGAAAAATTTAAGTGCTTCATCCCTGTCTGGATACAGTGCTGATGCACCAAGTTTCCCAAAATACATGGCATACAAAATAAATACATGCTTTAAGGTGCACTGTGGTTTTAATGGTTACCAAGCAACACAAAGTGGGCACTGAACACAGCTGCCTTCCTCTTAGAGACACAGAGATAAAAGTGAAATATTCTATTTTTTGAGTTCAAAGACAGACAGATTCAAATCCCCCCGCACATCAGTCTTACCTAATTATAGGCAGGTATTTAGTGGAAAGAACAGTAATTATGAATGCTAATATTCTGTAATTTCTCTAGTCAACTACAGATCCAAAAAAATGCACACAAACAAGAAAACATGTTAGAAGAAAGGCATCGGACACAAGCTAAAAGTACCATAGATGAGTATAGTTAAGTGTAAAAGGAGAAAAGAAAAAACAGAAATTAGAGAAAAACATTCCAAACACTATTGCTTTGCATGCTTCTTCAATTAAAGCTCTCTCTACTCTTCAGAGATGTATTTGAAAATGTAAGCAAAAGAAAATTAATTACTACATGTAATTTATACAACTTGGTGGAAGAAAAAACCACCAGAAGGGATTCACCATGTCAACGAACTGGAACGAACTGTTGCTGTCTACATATTCCTTTCAGTAACCTAGTATGTGAGTGAAAGCACCTTTTAAAAATCTACTTCTTAACAGTAATAACACCTAATACTGTGCCTTAATCTCAGTTTATTTATTACTAAAAAGCCATGAAAGTCTGAGTCTAGAGCACTTTGGTCAAGAGCTTTCAAATACTGTTTTACGTTAATCAAAGAGCTCTAAGGCACAAAATTTCTCATTCTTTCCATGGATCCTCAACCCTCATTAATGGAATTGGCTGCAGCTCACACATGCAAATGCCAAAATGCATACTTGAAAATACCTAAACTTCTAAATTTTAGATAACAATGGCTTAAAATGTTTTCAAATATACATGATTTGCAAATACAATTACTACAGATTCCGTATCTTGTAGATATTATGTGTAAGGGTTAATAAAGCAGTCAGAAAAGTACCTTGTGCCACTTAGTTAATACTGATTAATTAAGTTTACTCAAAAAAAACCCAATGAAGCCATTTTAACTTCTGGACTTAGGGTAAAGTTCCAATCACCATTCATGGCAAGTGAACTGAACAAAAATGACTCCTGGACACATCAAACACTTCAGTGGTATGCAGAAGACTGCCATGGCAATCCAAGCCCATTATCCTGTTCACATCACAGATGTCAACACAAGTTGTTTCACTGCATATCCTCAGATGGCTTGGCCCAGCAGCCTCCAGTTAACCGGGCTGTTGACTGTGGCACTACTGTTGTTTTTTTTTAAGGTAACAGCAGAATTCTTTCAGAACAAAACCAGTAAATCCAAAGTGTTAAGGGGGATGCTTTCCAGTGTACACAAAAACAATGTCTGCATTAAAAAAGAAAAGAGGTAGAGAAAAAGGTGGAATAACACAGTCATGAGAGAAAGCACATAACACACTTCCAGAAGGTTCTTCTCCAAGAAGAAGTATGCAGAGTCAAATTAGCAAGGGGACATGGATTTGCTTCAAAGAGATCTTTATGGTGCATGTAAGAATGTGGTATTAACCAAAGAGCTTTGCATTTAAAAACAGTTTATATTGAAGGTGTTTGAACAATGTTTGTTTTCTTCACTTAAAGTCAGAAATGGAAAACTAGATTTACTCCGTTTAATTAGAAAAAAAGCTATGAGCTGGTAGAAATAGGTACTGTATCCTGAGTCTCAATGGCTTCAAAAAATGTTAATCCTTGCAGAAAGGACACCTGAGACATGTACACCCAGTTGCTATTGACCCATGCAAGTGTGGATTTTAACAGCATGACTTCGAGAACAAGACGCATAACCTTTTAAAACAATTAGCTCTTGCTTATGAGTGCTATTAAGATCAAAGAACAAAGTCTGGGCACCAAACATTACTTATTTTTTCAGCTACATTACATTGCTTGTATACATAAGTCATAATTGAAAAATAATACCCTACAAAAAATTCAGACTTAATTAAACCTCAGCAACCAGGTTCATGGCCCAAGATTAGAAAAAAAACCACCCTAGAACACAGTTCACAATAAGGTAATTCAGTCCAATATCTGGATGACAAGCCAGTCAAACTTAATTCTTAATTAAGTCTTAAGTCTTAATTCTATGTCATTGATGTCATGACCAGTAATTTTGCAGAACTTACCCAGAAAACTGCTTCTCCTGCAGATACTTTAACTGACTTTCACTACTTTGGGAGAGAAATGTGTAACATATTCTCCAGACTTGGGCCAGATTACAATGAAAGCAGTTTAGAGATACCTTGCTCAGAAAAAAAAAAGGCCTTACTTCCAGTGAAAGAAACACAACACTTGTTTTCTTTTTGAAAGCTAAGTTTGCTTTACCTTAATGCCCAGTAACTGTGGAGTTCTCCACAACTCAGAAATATATAACAGAAACTGGATGCTCATAGTAAAATATTACAGGAACATAATAATAACTATAATACCTATAACGAGCATCTGAACACTGCAAACTCCCTAACTTTTGAAGAACTGGATCATTTAAATCCCTACAATATTTCTGAGGATTTTACACTACAGATCAGAGATACAGGTACATGTACAACAAAATCTTTCTAAACATTCATAATACAGATGTTTGATACCCTGTACTCTCATAAGTGAGAAAAAACCTCCTCCAAGTAATTTGTGCTTGCAGATGTGAACAATATACCTCATTAGAAAGAAAAGTCTGCTTTGAAGATAATACTTAAAAGTACTTTGCTTGCTTTGATGTGGATTATTTATATTTTAAGAACACATTTTAGACTCCTAATTGTTTCAGTTTTTCATAGATAATCCTGAAACAATCTCCATAAAATTTGAAATCAATTCTGTCAAATGCCACAGGAAATAGCACGGAAACAATTATACTGATTGCAAAGGGAATTTGTCTCATTATTGTGAACTCCAGCTGTCTCCTCCTGTACCTCAACTGTTCCTTGGAAAGTTAACCACTACTGTGTACAGGAGTGCTTTGAATCACCTTTAAAGTAGTGCTGTGCATTTCAGTTCATGGATATAGCCCTTCATGACATTCTGGAAAACTCACCACTATGCCATTGACTTAGGTTAGCGTGATAAGAGGATGGACACTTAACCACAGGTTACAGGAAAAGTGCTAGTTGATCATATGCTACATGGGTTCACAACCCCATTGCAAAGCTAAGAATGAGCTGCTTACAGTGCTACTATTAATCACTCTCTTTTACAGAACTGATCCTACTGCCCTTTAATTCAATAGTACAAGATGGGACTCTGAAGACACAAAGACTGCATTCAACCAATGTTTCTCCTTTTTTAAGAGAAGAGTTGAGTTTTTAAGAGAAGAGAGAGCTTAGGAGGCACTAATACCAGGAAGCTGAAACTAGCAAACACACCTTCACCAGACAATTTGTGTGACCTGGAACAGATCCATTTACATAAATAATGTCATGTTTTGTGTTGATCCTCCACACCTAGAAGACAGAAAAAACCAGGCAGTGAGCTCATTTTAGAGACTATTCCCAGTTTTACAAACAGCAGTCCCACAATACATGAACTGATTAACTGGAGGTGGTACTCTAGGGAAAAACATTCTGCACAGGCCTAAACTCGCCACAAAATTCAGTCACATGCTTTCTGATATGCACAGCTTTCTAATGCAGGAGTCTATTAGATAGTTTTCAAGAACTTCTGATCAGGCTCTATTTGCTTAGGCAGCTCTTTGCTCAGTGTAACACCAACCAAAGCTCACAAGTCTCAACGGCTATTGAAAAACATCACTCATGACAAACTGAAACAAATACACTCATGACAAGATTGCTGCAACAATTTGTTGATTTCTTAACTCTGTGAGGTCATCAACTGAACATGCATTTTTTTCTGTCACAAAAATTTAGCTGTAGTTAGCAGAGAGCAGCAGTAGCACACTTTTTGCAAACTAGAGGCTAATATGTTTCTTGTGCAAATTGAGAAGACAGAAAACAGTGGCTGTAAAAGCACAGGAACTGCTGCAGCAACGTACACATCAGAATCTAGTCAGAAACCATAATCCCCTTTCTGCACATGAAAGTGAAGGACCATGATAATGTTGGGACTTCAAACAACTCAGACGTGGGTTGGGTTTGAACAAGTGGAATAGATACGAAAACATTAACAAAAGGTCACCAAAACCTGGTTGTTTTCCCACTTCAAAGGCAGAAGTAAAGGGATACAATGAAAAACACATCAGATGTGGAAGTATCACCTGAAATCCCAGTTCCCAGGATACACATATGCAAAGGGAGTTCAGATATTTGCAATCCTCAAGAAGACAGGAGACACGTTTACCGCTCTTGTCTTTCCAGCTTGCCTACTTCAAGACGCTCCTGTCTGGATTCTGACATAAATGACAGACACTACACCAACAGAAGGCTACCTAGCTATGTCCATTGTTTAGCAATGCAAGCACCTTACATATCTTCCAGCATACTCAAAACTCACCTTTAATCCATAAGACGTCCTATAGATGTTACCCATTTTACCAGGCATTTTCTTTCCACGATAAACTTTGGCAGCTTTCTAAATAGAAACAGGGCCAAAAAAATAATATAAGTGCAAGAAGTACACTTACAAACTCAAGAAAAGCACCAAAGAAAAAATGCTCATATTTCCAAAGTTGAAAATACCTTATATTGATTCGCATTTCAAATACCTCCTGCTGGAAGTTAGGTAATACTGTACATGTTATGTGAAATACTTGACTTCAAACATTAAATTGCTATAAACTGTTATATCAACAAAGGGATTCTAATTTTTCTTAATACTTACTGTGTACAGATTCAGAGCAAAATCTGCACTCATCCCATACTTTCACAGTGTGAAAATCAATAAAAGGTTTTTTATCTAAAACCCCTGTCAACACAAGACTCTCACCTACATCACAGACTGCAGCAACTGGAAACTTGCCTAAACTACTTGTGGATGCTTCTACAGAGCTCCCTAACAGTGCTGCCCCAGAAGGCTGCCAAAATGAAGATACACTGTAGCTTCTCCCCTCTCCTTAATTCTTGAATTTTATACTCATACAGAACAAATTTTTTAAAGGATCTATTTTTGAGAGCCGAATTTTAATTACATTCCCTGCTATCACTTAGTTTTTGTCTCCCATTTATGCTTGGCTGGGTATAACCTGGAGAACAAAGGTGGGGGGAAAAAAACGCAAGAGTAAGTGCAGTAATTTCCAGTTCTACAGTGATTAGCAAGGGATTTATCTCAGTTTCCTGCACCACGCTTTATTCCTTACTAATGTTTTCGTTTTTTTCAAATTGTGACAATAATGATTTCAGGAAATCAGCTGCAATGAATTTTTAGGGACAGGATTCTGTACTGAACAGTGCAAGATTACAAAAATATCTGAAGTGGTCAACGCTAGACTGGAAAATAGAAATCGAGGCATTGTTTTTCCCCTTTCACCTTGTTTCATTTTCATCATGCCTATTTCCAATGGTATTTCTTATTCTGTATCTTTTGTGAAATTACATACAGCATTACTGCTTAGGAAATTCTAATTTAAAGAGAAGTAAAGAGAGGTTATTCTATAATGAATACCATCTGCTAAAACAAAGTTTTGCATATTCAAATATTTACATTCTTCAGTCTCCAGAGAAAACAGTGCCAGGTGTAGAACTTATTTTCCAGCTGAAATGAGGGTCTATAAATCTGTACTTTGTGCATTTACAGTCTTGATTACTCTTAACTTCTTGCCTGGTGCATTTTTGCTTTTACTATTCTCTTGAGTATTATCAAGCCTTTTTGATTCTCATTTTACTTCTCCAAGAAAATGACAGACCATTCAGGTTCTGCACTGTGACTCCATTGGTCTTAATTCTGTATAACAAAGCTAGTTTACAAAAATCCCTCTTGGTTCAACCTAAAAATTGTGCAGTCTTTATAGGGACAAAGTTTTAAATTAATGAGGGCCTAAGAGCTTTTAAACTAATATTATTTATAGTTTCAAACTTACAAATATTGCTCTGTACTCTGCTTAAAAATGCTTAGCAGCCAGCAAACTATTTTGGGAATCAAAGAGCTCATTAAGCAGCTACACAAGCCAGGCAAGGTGATAAAAGCAACTAAGATTTCAAAGAATAGTACAATATCTGCAGTATAAAATAATAGGTGAATCCTTTCCAATCTATAAATGCTGTGATTAAAGATTCTCAGAACTCTCTTTGAAGCATTAAGACTATTTATCTCAGCTATACTACAAAATACCACAGTTTGCTCAGTTAAAATGTGTTTGCTCATTTACCAGCAATATGGAATACTCATAAATTGAGGCATAAAAGAACAACTATCTGCATTGCGCATTAACAGGTTCCTGAACTTCCTTTGAAACAGCTGGGACTCTCTGCTACCACAGAATACATGAGAACAGCTAGCTATTGTGAAATTATTCATTTTTAGTAAGCAGTTCCAAAAATACCGAAGAATGTTTAAACAGGAAATAAGAATCCTTACATTGGTAGATATTGCACCAGGACGTCGATGAGTTTTCGTCTGGCCGTGGCTTGCAGGCTGACCTTTAAATCCCCACCTTTTCATGACACCTTGAAATCCTTTACCAATTCTGAAAGGAAAATTTTATTGAAAGCGACTTAAGGTTTCCAGCAACAAACAATAATTTCAGCCAGGTTCATGATCTTTTTACCTTTAGCAAAGCTCAGCAGAGAGATAATATAGATGTATTTTTTTAAAATCTGTATTTTATACCATAAACATATTCTAGTGCAATACTTAAAGGTTCCTTTACAGAGTAAGAAGCACTAGAAGTCAGTCAAACAGAAAGACTAACATAAAACGCTCCTTGCTGTCATGGTTCTCAATACATGGTACACTAATGAAGTTTTCACCAAGTGGACACCAGAACAAACAAACAAATAGCAAACCACACTGTATAACAACACATACCAAAACTTAATCACAGGCCCTAAGCATCAAGAGGGAAAAGAGACAACTGCTGAGACTAGCATAAAAACAAACCAAGGAACATTTATTTTCTGAACTACAACAGACTCATCTCTCAGTTTTACGATCTGTACTCATCTGAAAAATAAGGTCTAAAACACAATAACAAATAACATTTTCAGAGTCTATGCCTTATTCTTTGAGATACATGATAGTATTAGTGTCTTTGGGGTTCTCTGTTTATTGCCTCACCACTGCACAACAGAAAAGCTGATTAGAGTGTGTGTTCAAACCGGCATTGTTCATTTCCAAAAGGAAAAGTCTGACCACAGGGTTTATGGCTGATTATTTAATTCATTTAACAAGGTGATCCTTTTCCTCCATTTACAGAAACCCTTTCTCTCCTCATGCACTTTGCAATTTCAAGGTCCTAGGTCAAGCATTAGGTCCTTCTGGTCTAACATGGGAAAATAAAACTGGATACATGGACAAGATGTTGCTGACTACCCTGATCAGGAAAGCAGGAGCATTAAACACTACAGAAAAGATACAGGTGTGGAAAACATCAACACTCACAAACACTGGATTCTTTCCTCTTCCATTTGAAAAATTGGCTGATTGCTGCCCTAGTCGCCTGGAGCAAGTAAAGCTACAGTCAAAACCATTCACAATGGAAAGACACTCTAAAGCCACAGGACTGTAAGGAAACAAGCCTTGTGCAACCACAGTGTCTGTCTCTTGGTTTTCCCCTTGCCTGCTCAGAATCTAGAAGTTAATTCCAGTCAAATCTGACACAGAAGAAAGCAATCTTATTGTCTGAAATCAAGTCCTGATTTTTTTTTGCTCTTTTCCTACAAAACTAAATAAGGAAATGCTAAAACATGATTAAAACATGATCTGTTCCTTTGGCTTGCCAGCTGCCAGTCATAAAAGTGGTTGCCACCAGCAAGAGTGTCCTTCCAGGTGCAACATGGAGATCTGGAGAGAGTGATGGCTGTGTGAGGGAGCTGAAAGCATCTGTGCAAAGGAGGTCTTGGGTTACCTGGGACTAGGAACACAAGACAAATCTAAAGGATGGAAGACTTCGTTACACCAGTTTCTCATGTATCAGCTTATTCTAAAAGCTTGTAGTAATGAACAGTGACAGTTGGTTAAAAAAAGTTTGAAAAATACACTCTGGGAGAGACCCAAAAGTTGTCTCTTTCAATGTTAGCAGATTGCTAGGGGGTTAATAACTTTGAAATACATAGCAGAAACTAATGTAAAGGAAGATTTCTATCTGTCCCATCAAAATGCTACTTTTTTCTTAGAAACTGTATTTTAATGGATGTGTTTTCCAAGTAGACTGCTTCTGGCATCTTTAGCTGGAAGATGGAATTTGCACTCTCCAAAATCAACTGCAAGTCCACCGGATCACAACCTCTGTGAAGTTACCAGAGAGAGAAGATTCGGGGCATGATTATTTCTTCAGCTGCAGAAATGTACTTGCAACTCAGAGAAAACCATACTACCACTGATAGCTACCATTTCAAAGGAAAACGGCACTCTCAACTCTAATAACGCATAAACCCCTGATGTCATGAAACCACTTCAATACTTCATTCAGATTATTAATTTTTAGAACAGTTTAAAGTACTGTAAACTGTACTTTTAAATAAATCACAAAAATATAAAAAATAGTTAATACTTCTAAGTATCAAGTATTCATCAAAAGGTGTAAGGTATCTTCAAAAAGAAGTGACTACATCACAAAATAGAGTTGCTAGTGTTTAACGATTTATGCAATAGATAATGCTCATCTACTTCTTGGTCCTTCCAATTACCCATGTATTTTCTGTGAACAAAGACTTCACAATACTAAAGTCCTAGGAAATTCATAAAAAGTGTGGCCAGACTGAGAAATAGCACTCCGGTAAACTTGAAAATCCTTATGCATCTGTTAATCTGGAATAAGAAAACACGCCTCCAACATTTGAAATATTCTGGCTAAAGTCAAGGAAAGATATCTCAATGTTAACACTAGAGTATTTAATAATGTTCAATGCTTTACTGTCTACCAAGGTTCTTTCATCATATTAGTTCAATGAAATTTTAGAATAATTTAATTTTATATTTGTGAAAAACTGATTAAAAGTCTCTGACTGACCTACAAACACACTTTATCCTTTGGCTTTTGGAACATTTATTTTTTATTCAAAGTAATTCAATTTTATTTCAGTTTCATGACTGAAAATAGACAAGATTTTATTAATTAAATAAGAAGTAGTTTTAGTTTTATTAGTTATAGTTTTATTTAATTTTGGAGTTCTCTGGTTTCTTTAAAAGATTAAATAATGCATAATGTTCTTGGAATGCAAGTCAAGACAAAAAACAATTACACAGATGGCATATATTTCTTCCCAGATAATGCTCTGAAATAATGCTGGAATCAGAATAAAAATTGCAGGATTATGTAAAGTTTAAAATAAAGTAAGGAGCTACTAACACCTGTTTAAATCAAATATAGAAAAGAGGACTGTTCAACTAGGTCAGTCAATATACCTCCATCATCTAAAATAATAATGTTTTTTCAACCTAAGTCCACCTTGATGGGACTCTGAACTGTTCTCAGACTAGTGGTAGTCTCAAAATGGACCTGTATTTCTAACCCAAAGATTCTACATTATTCTTGTATGAAATGCAAAGTGCTGTTGAAAGAATACTCATCTTACATAAACAAGGAAAAGCACTTAAGACACATGCTCCCCTCACCCCAAAAGTCCTAACTACTGACATCCCACTACATCTTGTTCATTCAAATCTGTGAAAACTGTAAAAAAGAAACATTATACATTTATATTTTAGAAAAAACTCACACATGCATAAGAAGAGGTAAAACTAAAAAATCTCTTAATATGCATAGTACAGACAACTTCAGATATTTTCAAAACACGTTAAGGTTTATCAAAGTGGGATCTTAAACCTGAACCACATCTTAATTAAACAGAATAAATATTTAGATTCCACTCTGAAAGAATCAAATTATGTGCAGTATCTGAGATATGAAGATGAAGAACCTTTGCTGAAGTAGGACATTTGTCATCCTACTTACACTGTTGTGATTTCTTGCTAAGACATCTTCCACCTGTTGTCCTGGCTTGAATCAAGGACTGCAAATTTTTGTTCTGAGAACAGTAACATTAAACACCCTAGCCGAACACAAAAAAGTGCACAAGGCCTGCCTATCTCTATCAGACTTGATGAGTATAATGCCAGTGGTCTTCAATAAATGGGATTTAGTCACTTACTTTACTTAGCTTAATTGAAGCACGATTACCTGAGTCCCAGAAAGGAATCACAGGCAGCAGTGATAATATGCAAAACTAAGACACAAAGATGTATAATGAAAGGAAAATAATCTTTCTGCAGAATTAAAAATAAGAGTTTAATTAAACATAGTTGCTCTAGTCTCACCTGCAGGAAAGCAGCTGTTCAGGTCAACCATCCAATTTTGCACAAAACCTCATTTTCCATGTTCTCAACAAGTAAAATGCTAGTAACTAATGAGCCAACTTCCATTTAGAAAGCTACTGGAATAAAGCACTCTAATTAAGCAACAATTTAGTTTACTGCTAACTCTTCAAACTTAGCTAATTTAGAAGACAATTACTTAGACGCTGTAAGAGGAAAAGGATTCCAACTACTTAGTCAAATAATTTCAGATAATTGTAGAGAATACTTCCAGGCTCAGATTACACTGTTAGCCTAGCAAAGCTTAAATAAACCATAAACACACCAATATTACCACCGAATTCTGGCACTAACTACTGTTAGCTTTTTCTTTAGAGTAACAAAATTTCTAATGTTCCAAAGGTTTCCTGAAATGTTCACAAAATAAGTCATGAAGTAGCCGAAAAAGGAGGTATAATACAACTCCACCTCCGTGCAGCACTGGGCTACCACTGTAAGGAATGGTCCCACCTTTCCCCATCCCCATGTTCTGGTCATCTTTGTACCAGCGCAGAAGCTCACTCAGCTGATCAGCAAGCTGGGGCACGCAACAGATCCAGATGAAAAGTAACCCAGTGAAGAATACAGTTATCTCACACTGATTTTTTCCTTCACGCTACTCAGGACCAGTGACAAAAGGTCGACAAACTCTGAGAGCGAGCACCACTTCCCCTTTGCCAGCAGCCTCTACTACAGCAGCTTAAGAGAGTCACAGAAGTTCAGCCTGTGAGGGAAGTGTTTCTGGATAGTGTGGGGTATTTTAGCCCAAAGCATGTCAGGGCTAAAACACACCACCAGGTCATAGGAATTCTGAAGTTTACTGATGTTAGAAAAAGGGCACTAAGCTTTTATACATTCCTGAAACACACTTTTGAAGCGTGGAGGAAAAGTCTTGTCCTTAAAGACTGCTATAAAACTTAAGGATTGAGCTTTTAAATTGCTGAAAATGAGTACTAAGGAAAATATTCAGCACTAAAGAAGACTGACTGACAGCATGCTGACACACTGCCTACTATCTTTGCTCTAAAAGCTACTCATACTATGCTGAACAAATTACAAGACTTCAAATAAAAACAAACTGCATACAACTTTAACTGAACCTTCTTGTTTAGGTGAAAGTGTTTTTTTTCACAGAGGTGTAAGTGAATCAAAACACTGACTTCAACAAAAACATTTGCAAGGAAAGTTTAAAAGCAGACAGTCATAAAAAACCACCCTACATTTTGGTAACGAAATCAAGATGCTAACCAAGACTTCTGAAATGTCATGCAAATACTTTGTTCAAGCTACAATAACCAAAAAAAGCTTACTTATTTTTAAGAAGCATATTTTTTATTTATGTCTTGGCTAAAGGAAGCATACAAAAGGACACCTTGCTTATTTGAATCATTAAGAATTAACAAAAATTAAAATATCCTTTATATTCTACTATATATATATATTATCTCCTCATTGAGGTGACAGTTTTCCTTCTTTCATTTTTAAAGGAATAATTAGAATTAATTATGCAATTAACAATTAACACTACTGTTTTAATCTGTATGATTTCAAACATTGAATGCTTCAGGGTTTCCTCCAGTAAAATAAAATCACTGACAATCCAAAATGTGAAGTATATGTTTGCATAAAAATATTGTGAATTTAAGGTTTTAGGAATTGCTGACTTTTAAGTCCATAATGGTTTGAATCAGGAAGATACAAGTTGAGGGTATGAGCAGAGGAATACTGAATTAAAAGACAGGATGGATTCACTGAACACAACCAAGAACCAAATCTATTTCTAGCTTGCTAGTGTTTCAAATACATACAAAAAGATACAATTCAATACCCTGTGGCTGCTGACCAGTATCATTTACATTATCAAAAACCCCACGTTTCCTGTTTTTGAAATTCTTCTAGAAAAACAAAGCTCTTCACATTAACAAAGCGTGACACTTAATCTACATGGAATGGCAGGATTCCTAATGACACTGTGCTCTACTTTGCAAACAAGCTATTGTCTCTTACAGGCTGTCCACTGAATGCAATTTAGAAGCAGAATGAAAAATGCATCAGATCTCAGCACTACATAAGGAACTTTGACATTGAAGAATACTACTTCCAGTCAACTCCTCGACCTCCTTCTCTCAACAGTGCATGCCCTCTTAGGTGTAGTCAGGTGTAGCTACATTAGAACTGACTATTTCGCTGTACTGATACGGTCGGTTTCCCCGTATATACAAAGCTCTGTGAATAATATTAGACATTTTAAAGTATTTCACATATGTGAGACAATTACAATGCATGGTATTTCACCAAGACCTGTTTGCTATTACTTTCATTACACCAAAACACCCCAACCATCAAGTGGAAAACATTACACTTGTATCAGAACACAACAAAAGTATACTTCACTGAAATACTGAGATAAGAATTTCCTTGGGCAGATGTAACAGAAGAGGCATGACTAGCCTTTACCAAAATACACCAGTTTTTCTTTTGACACCCTTTGCCACTTGGATGTGGCATTCACAGTGGCCTAAGAGGAAATAATTCCTCCCACATTAAAGATCATTAGCCACCGCTGGCAAGGAGATGAGCTTGCGTAAGAAAAAACAAAAAAGGAATTTGACAGCTCTGTTGTCCTGATAAACATATTCACTGTCTTTTCACTTTTCTATTGGTCCATATGATCCATCTCCCTTTGCATCTCATCACCAAATCAAAATCAAGCAATCTTTCTGGGTAGTGATGCCTTTCAGCATTTATTGTCCACTTCTGCATCCCACAGATGCTGCATTATAGACCTCTTCACCCATGCTAGGCTTGAGCACCTCTTTCTCAAGCAGTTTGTCAAGTCTTTCCATCCTAATCATATATGTGTGACAGACAACACATGCAGACCCTATGTAGCCCTAATAGCATTATTTGTGTACCTGCTGTGTTCAAAATCAAAAGAAAGCCTCAGTAAAGAAAGATTATTTGATACTTCTGACGCAATGGCTGAGTGGACTTGTATTTCCCAGTGCTATTGTTTCAACTGTATTTCGGCTTTTGTGAGCCATGAGCTCGAGGCAAAGAAGGTGGGGAGGAAATTCAACCAGTTTATTTGGAAGATGAACCTTACATGTTAAATCATTAGGAACCTACGTTTTTGCCGTCACATCCACGAACTGCCCGGGGCGAAAGTGAGCAGCATACAAAGGAGTACCTTGAAAAGAAGAAGAAAGATCATGTTCCATTAAATGCTGAAATCCTCTAACCAAGATGCAGTCATTACCATCCAGGGCAGATTACAGTCAAGGGAAAGGAAACAAAACTATGGTTTTATTCACACATTATTTGTTCTTTTTAAACCATGCTACCTAAAATAGACGCTTTGCAGTTACTACTTAAGCATGGTTCTATGATCCTAGCCCAATTTCCATTGAGTAGGAAGGAATGATCAGGGCTTTACTCAGATATATTGTGCTTCAGACATGAGACAAAGTTAGGACTCACAATAAACAAGTCTGGCAAAAAATAGAACATGCTCCACTTATAACTGCTAGCACTTCACAAAGTGAAGCCTGCAATAGGAGCACCACTGTCCATCAGTGACATCACTCACTTGACTGCAATCACATTAATTTCCTTAAGCATTAAAATTTGAATTGTAATTAAAAATACACTTTGTCTTAAGCATTTTTTTCATCCAAGTGCAATATTCTTTTATAAGCAGCTTTTGAAAAACCAGAATCAATAACTTAGTTTATAATAGACTTTAAACTGAAGATCCCTGCAGCTGCATCTTTAACAGTTTCCATCGTAAGGAAATTAAAAAATAAAATTTCAATTGCTTCCTGTGAACACTCATTTTCATGCTGTTTTCAAACCTGTATGAATGCAAACTGAAATTATGTAAACCTCTCAAGCTTCAAGCATAAAAATCCTCATATTATTTCACATTATATTTATGATTCACACATCTGGGGTAAGATACCTGTTAACTGGCAGAAAATAATGTGAAGGATGTTATGAACAAAAGGCACAAGCTACAAAATAAGTTTATTGAAAACTTGCAGTTCTGCTTTATCTCAAGCTTTTGCTTTCATTTATCAGCCCATACCTCCTCTCCATGTGATTTTTATCAGTTACAATGCTGTCTTAAAAAGGTCTGGCAAAAAACTTTCTCTAATTTCAAATAAAAACGTAATACATTAGAATTCCCTAGTCTTTATAATTCTTGGAAAAATACCTATAAGTATCAAAAAGCACAAAATGAAAGCAACTAAAGATACTAGCTAATAAAACCTTAAAAACACAAAATTTTTCATTAATCTCCAAACTTCTAATAGTGATTTTTAGTGAGAATATTTGTTACAACATATTCTAATGTGTTTTGCTTTTTAAGCTGACAGAAAAAATGCCATATATGACAGCCATTGGTCCTACTTCTGAATGCAGCAAGAAACAAACTTCAAACTGCTATTTCAGGGTCCTGATAAATGTTACCACAAAATTCTTGGTGCCTCTAGCACAAGGATAATCACACAGCATCGTGAAAATGCATTCATGTTTATTCCCAACAAGAAAGTCAAGGTTACAGACATTTATTTATTAACTCAATGCTTGTATTAGCCAGTTTTATCAGACTTCTTTTCCAATTAGTGGAAACAGAGTATCCAGGAAAAAGCCTACTTATCATCACTTAAAAGATAGAGCCCTTTTTCTAGTTTTCCCTAAGAAAATATTGTGCTCAATGACAAGAAGCAAAAATCAGCAATTTCCATACACAACAAAAATGAAATAGATGCCATAATTTGGTTTAGATCTACAAGCAGCAGATGTTAAATGATTATGCATATAATACTCAGTAGCTCAAAAACAGTACCTGGTTTAATTATGGCATCATCTGTTACATTAAACGTTGTAACTTTCTGCTTCCGTGGTACTCCAGCTTCTTTAAAAATTTCCATTGCAGACTCTGATTTCTGTAACAAAGAGCAGTCATAAAAAAGTCATTTTAAAATACCCCAGGATCAACCCAGCACAGAAAGTGATTACAGACTGTCAACATCACTCAGAGAAACAGATATATCATACTACACTTTTATCTTGAGACTAGCATTTTAAATCTGTTTAAATTTAATTTAAAACTCCTGTGTCTGCATTTTATTTTCTTTCAACTAGTTACCCTACAGCTACATCATATAAATAGGAGATATATGAAGATTTCAAAGATCAGAAAAAGGATAGCAATCATTTAGAAGGTACATAATACATATTACTGCTTTTTCATGAGTTTCAAAAAGTTTCTGTAGTAATTTAAAAACATTTTCTCTTTTTTAAAGGTTTTTATAATTTAGTTCTATACCATCATGAACATAATTTATTTGATGCATCTAAAAATCCCACAGAAATAAAGCCTGATCTTGCAGAGACTTCTATAAATGCTTAACCTGCCACAGAAGAGAATCTGGAGTCTCCAGACCAAAAAAAAATAAGAACAAGTTTTTTTACAATATGCCAAGTACATTCATTGTCAAACCACTGCTGAATAACTATATTAGGGCTCTTATTTTTAGAGAAGTCTGACAAAGTTAAAAGTTCTTAAAACTGTTACCAGCTCTTTTAAATGAGACAACTCATGGAATAGCTGACCACTGAGATGACACCAAGCAATGGAAAAAGCAATGTGGGAAAACTGTGGCCATAGGAAAAAAGCAATGCAGATGATTTTTCATCAAATGAACTACCCTAGAAAGCAATTTAGGCATCTGACAATACTGTCACACTTGGATAGTCACATCTCTGAGGTTCACTTTGCAGAAGTTCTGTGTAGTTTTCACTCTCTCAAAAATACTTGTGTATTTTAAGGCATATTAATGTGAATAACCTTAAGAAGGTTATTCTGTGTATTTTGAAAATCTGCTTGTTGCCCTTTTTATTTTGATTTTTAAAATCTGATTAAAAGTGTCAGGAGAACCCAAGAAGTTTTGTGAAGAATTACAGAGCAAAATAATGACGATCTCTGACTTAAGATACAAACCAGAAATTTTAACTTTATAAATCTGTTCTTATTTGAGGAGAAAGCATAAACACAAACCCTTTTGAGAGTTAAAAGGTTTTTCTGACTGATTTGTAACATTCATGGTACAAAACACTTCAAATATTGTTGGTTTTTTTGTTTGATTGTGGGTTTTTTTAAGTCACCAAGTAAACTAAAAAATCTCCTCTAAGACCACAAAAAATTGAGGCATCAATGGAGAACACCTGTATTAAACTGTAGTACCATATTTAAGAATTAAAAATAAAGAAATCCCCCTTTCTAGTAAATAACTGCCTATCAGTCCTTTATTTCCACAATTATGTAAAACTGCCACCTCAGAAGAGGGAGACGGGGGAGCTCTGTGCTCAGCCAGGGTGCCTGGAAAGAGCTACCAGAGCTGAAGCACAGCAAAGTCAAAAGTAAAAATCCCTTAGATCTCAAGAGTCCTACTATAGCCTTGCCCTGTTGTACTTCAACAACAAGTTTTCTTCAAGCACTCCAGTCAGAGAGGTTTATTTCTACAAACCAAACACTGCAGTCTTTACAAAGCTTTCCTAAAAAGCAATACTGTTCTTATTTTTAAGACCAACAGTATCGTCCAGTATTATAGGAAAATGATCAAAATGCCAACACTTAAGGGAAGCATATAAAATATTTTTGACAAAAAATTGTTGGAACACTGACAGAATTGTATGTTTGACAATAATTTTTCATTTTATAAAAGATGAAAAATCTGTTCACTTGTAATGGACTGACATACATCAAGCTGAAAAAATAATAATCTTGCTACAAATGCAATACCCCTTATAATTTTTAAACACTTTGACACTCAAAAGAAATACATGAAACTGTTACTAAAATTGCTGAGGCAATCATCAGATCGAATTCATTAAAAATCAGAAGCTGAGGAGTCTGAGGACGACAGATGTTCCTATGAGGAATTAACAAAAGATAAACTGCTTATGCTGATACAATGCAGTATCATTCAGCCTTCTTTTAATTCTCATATTCAGATACTTCAAAGAAGAAACACATAAAAACGTAAACATAGGAAAGCAACAATTCAAATCTAAACTACAGAAAGAAGTAATTTGTTAGTATCTTAACAAGTGAAATTGTGCAGAATCATCATACCAAATTCTGTCTTGGAAATTCTCTAGTTTGTACAATGACCAGGATAACGATAACAACAACAACAGAGAGCTCAGTCTAAGGCCAGGTCCTCACCACAGACTGATATAAGGGTATTCAATTTATTTATTAATGAGTCAGAGTTCAAACAAATTAATAGGAGCTAACTTGGAAAAGGTTATGTCCGTGAGAGTAATAACTCAAACTACTCAAAATTCCTTGAGCTGACTTTTTAGATAGCTCAGCTTTGAAGGAATTTTCTTAGCTCATGAGAGCTGTTTAAATAGAACTTTTCTATATACCTTCTTGCTTCCTGCTCATTTTCACTCTGACAAGATACTGAATCACTGATAATATTACCTTTATGAAAAGATCAACTGTAAGGAGTCTAATCTGCATAGTATAATTTAAATATTATTATTCACATGATTCTTGCAAGTTTCTGTTTGAAAATGGAAAATACATGTCCTCAAAAATCCACAGTCACCAACTGAGATAAGTAATCATGGGTCCTAATTTTTTTGCTTGCCTAAATCAAATAAATTAGTGTCAGGATACTACAAATAGTGAAAAGTGTTATTTTACAGAAATAACAGATCACAGAAACTGCAGTCCTTTGAGGGAAAGCTTTGTTCCTGCTTTTATCTGTAAGTCAATTTTTCTCCTCGCTCCTAGACAACCTTAGCCACTGAAGACATCTGGGAATTCCACATCAAGCATCTGGGGTGTCTAAACAAGTGAGCAGTTTTGGTATCACTTCTGATGAGGTATAATCACAAAGCTATCTTCCTGAAAATTTAAGTTTTAAACTTACTCATCAGTAAAGCTACATGCAAATTAAACAATCTCAACAGACCTGTGGAAAAAATTACAGCTAAAGCAAATAAAACAGCTTGAGTAAGATAGAAAACAGTCTTCTAGTAGAACTGATGAAGCTGGGGAATTTTACAAGATGACATTAAAGCGTTAGTTTATTTTGCAGTCCTCATCTTGTATTGCATCTCCACAGACATGGTGAACCCATGTTTCTACACTAATGCCCCTCCAGACCCTTTCAGCATGGGACACTGCACATGAAAGCAGGTTCCTAAACCCATGGTTTTCCTAGAAAATCAACATGCAAAACCTTGAAAAACTTGTTCTTGCTATTCTCTTAACCAAGAATTGACACTAGCATGAAAGAAACAAGGGTGAATGAAAGAAAAGCTCAGCTCCAAAGCACGTCTGCCAATTCATCTTTTAGAGAAGTCTACTTATACCACTTTTGTACTGTAATAGCAACAGAAACTATTGGAACAAAAACAACCAAAATGCTTCACTTACATAAAAAGGAGATCCGTTTTTGCCTCCAACAAGTAGCTTAGATGTTTTTCCACCCGACTCTTCCTTCGAAATATATTTTAAAACATGGCAATCTTGCACCTGAAGAAGAATTGTGTTTATTAAGAGTTTAAGCAGATGTGTACGCTTTTGGGACCATAGTAAGAGATTATCAAAACAAGGGAAACCAAGTATCTGTTTTAATTGTCATCTATGCAACAGGAAATACTGCCTACAAGTAGGGGAGTGTGTTACCTTTTTACCACAGATGTTATTTTTCCAATCAATTAAAGGCTTGGTTTAGAAAAAAATATTAGTAGAATGCAAACTCTATTTTCATAAATGCCCTATGAATGGAATAAACTTTCACACTCATCTTTTTCCTGCAAGATCTGCAAAATCCCTACTGGACACAGCAGCAAAGCACACAGTAACAGCCCACATCTTAGACTCCAGCTCCTTTGCCCTGTAAACCCGATGCCCTTCACAGCACTGGCTCATCACAGTAGCAGCTGTCAGAGAATATAAAGAAGCAGCTTCAGGGCTAGAAAGCCTCAGAAACCCAAGTGAAACCAAACCCAAAATGCTTGCAGGTGGCAAATTAAAAAAGTGGAGTAATTAACCCCAGCTTTAAGCTGCCTTCCATCTTCCCTTCTGGAGGTTGTACTATGCATAGTTCAGCACTTGAATAGACAAGGCAGAAGGCAGACTGCTCCTAGAAACTTTGGGATATAAAAGCAGAGAATGGGTACTGTGAGCCACAGAGGGTTGAAAAAAATATCTTCCCTTTTTTTAGGGATTTTTCACTCCACACATGTGGTAAGTTTCACTTTTGCCTGAAACTTTGGGTAAACAATCTGAACACAGTATAGGAGAATAAATTAATTATGATTTGTTTCACCTTAAGCAGTGTGACAGCATGCTTTTTTCCTGACTTGGTCCATATTGGCATCATTCCCAGTTTTACTGCAACAACACCAACTCTGATGGAATCTGCAGATCAAAACAGAAAGGGATGCAACTCCACAGTTAATATTCAAAAGAGTCCATCTCATAACCTGTGAAGTCCCATTAACTCTGATCTTTCCCAAGGAGCTGAAGAAGGACAGAAAACATTGCTGACTCCCCACAGGTAGGCTGAGAATAACCTGTTTTGTGTTTTTTTTTTATCCCAGTACCACTGGAGTTCTACCTGTCCCAGTCGTGTTTGATAGAACATGAAAACTAGTTCCCCACTAAGATCTGAACCACCAATACTTCAGACTCACTCTTGTTAGAAAATACAACACCTATGTAGAATATTAAAGTCAAAATAAATATTGAGAGGTTTACTGTAGGAGGTTCCTCCTACCCCAAATTTGCATATTTTTGTCACTGTAACTGCACAGCAAAGGCAACCTGCCAAATCTGGCATCTGACAGTCCATGGCATGAAAAACAGAACACTCAAGTTGAAAAATAAAAGCTTCAAAGTTTGCAGACTGTCAGGCTGTTGTTTGCTGTCAAATGATGTGACCCTTCTGAAGGCTCAAAAACTTTATATTAGTGTTCTGGTCCATATGACTTTGGAATCACTGAACAAAGTGGTATGTATTATACACTAAGCTTTTTTTACAGTCCAGCAATATTTACAGGAACAGTTTCAAGTTGATGTACTTTAGATTTTAGGGAGTCTTTTTTGAGGAATTGTTTATTATCTTGTCATTGTGCAGCAGTGGGACTGACCAAGTGCTAATTAAAACTGAAGTTCTTACAAGGTTCTTAATACCCTGTAATATTTTTTACTGCTTTTTAGAGAAACGATGTTTTAAATTTACTTATTTACTAAGAGATGTATTGGCTGATTTAGGTTAAAGCAAAAAGGAGGATACTTTACAAGACACAACCCTGATGTTGCTGAATGCAACAACACAACAACAATAAATTCAGCATGACTCCAGTATTTCAGAAGAGGTACTTTCTCACCTGGTTTCCACTCATTCAGTGGCCATGGCTCATCTTTCAGAGGGCACAGCTTGCTGGCTGTCTGAGCTTTGTATTCCTCCGCAGTTGCCTTCTTGAGGAACTCGACATTCTCTTCAGAGAGATGCTCATGCCACCACGTTGCGCTGTTAACATGCCTGACTACAGAGCACAGCTGATCCCTTTCCAGTAGTGGGAAAAAGTGTCTTATCAGTCCAAATAATGTCTCATAAAACGTAAGTTCATAATATAATACATACATATAATTATATACAAAGGTATCACTATATAATACAGTATACAGTCAGACCAAAATTATACTGACAAACTATTCAACCACCACCATTCAAACTAGCCACCCTTGATAGACAACACCTATTTGTCCTGCTCTCATCTAACTTTAAAGTATTCCAAAATATACCAAAGGGGAGCAAGCAATAACAACTAAAACAACCACTCCTTCTATGATAAAAAAGCTAGATCCACTAATGAAGCAGTGGGTATTGTTTACTTTAACTTTAGCAAGGCTTTCAACAGAGTCTCCTTCGGCATTCTTTTACCCAAGCTGGGATGTTACACCATAGATGGGGGGGCTATCAGGTGGGCAAAAACCTAGCTGGATCATCAAGCTGAAAGAGTTGTGGTTAATCAATTGTGCTCTGCTAGGCCAGTTACAAGTAGAGTTTCTAAAGAATTTGTTCTGGGACTTGTCCTGTTTAGTGACCTACAAGAGGGGATGAGCGCACCTTTCTTAAGTTTGTGAACAAAACTGAACTGAAGGGAGCAGTTGAAGGTACAAGCCAAAAAGGACCCTGATGAAATTCATAAAGGAGAAATGAAAAGTCCCACACCTGGGACTTTCCATCAACAGAAGAACAGTCTGGAGATCAAGGGGAGCAACTATCATTCTTCAGCACTCCTAGTAGACCACATCTGCAATATCAAATCCAGTTTCAGGTCCCCAGTCCAATAGAGATGCTTCTAAATGAGTGAGTCCAGCAGCAATAAACAAAATATACATGTTCCAAAGCACCTGCCCTACCTTACCAGAATTCACCACAAGGAGAGCAAAGAGGCTGCAGTCGCCGGTGCAAGCAGGAGCGAGAGGAGGCGTGGGGGGGGGCGCTGGGTAGGCAGGGTGGGTGGGAGATGGTGACAGTGAAGGCAACATCTGTGTGTGCTGCCAGCAGGTGAATGGTTT